ACGTAAACTTAAGTACCTCTATCTGCTCTCAAGCAATAGGAAAGCCCAAGTCATAAATAGTCCAAAGTTGATGCCAAAATGTGTCATCCCCTTTGCTTCAGTAACATTCTGCCAGCCAACATAAAACTATGATGAAACCAATAGAGTGCTGTGATTGGATGGCTATGGATATCAGTCAACAGGGCAGTTCGCTATTACATTGTGGAAGAACTATATAAAAACAACAACAACAAAAAAAAATCCCATAAAATAATGCATTGTTTTTTTAAATAAACATGCTGTGATAGGGAGCCTAAGTCTACTTCCGCACCACAGGACCCCGGAAGAATGAAACAATGAAAGCAAGTCAACGGGGCTAAAAACGCTGTTTTTTAACCCACTTTGCCTTACGCCCTGGATCGCACATATGTTGTCCTGCAATTTAAATGAAAAGTAATGATGGGCATTTTGACCACGCCTGTCATGTACTTTGAGATTTATTAGCTTGTAAAAGTTTGTAATTAGCATGACTACAAACCAGAAATCGGCACGCCGCATATGTGACAGCACCACATAATCTCCTCTCCCCTACCGGAACAGATTAAGATGAGGATGTCTCACTTAGATCATTGTCACTGGTTTCATCATCACCCAGTTACCCATCACATTTAGTGAAGTGGACCCAAGCTTTAGCATTCGTTCTTTCTACCACACTGCTCTGTTTACAACTCGCTCGCAGCGACCAACGACATAACGCTCTAGCGCAGGGATTCCCTAAGTGTGGTGCAAGCACACATACACACACACACACACACACACACACACACACACACACACACACACACACACACAAAGATTCAATAAGCGCACGCTGCTCAAACTCCGGCGCGGCACCGTCAGACAGAAGGCAGAAATGAGCGCTGCCTCCTCCGTGATAAAAACTTGAGGTTTTATAACAACATTTTTCATTCAAGGTCAAATTAAGATATTAGCTTCTATTTTGGGATGACGTATGAAATTCGAGATCAATCATATTTTTTTAACCCTGTCTGTCTAGTGACTGTTTAGCGACGTCTGATATGTATATATATATATATATATATATATATATATATATCTCAGAGAGAGAGCTATGCCCTGATGTGGGGGCTGGGGGGTGCGTCGACCTGGTCGGGACATAGAAGGGGGTGCGCGGCTAAATAAGTTTGGATCAATGAGGCCCCTGGTGAAGGAGCAGTCAGCCGTATCCCAGGAAAAATGTCAGCTTAGCTCAGTCCCAGTCAGTGTCACAGACCGTTGGAGATAAAATGGGGTGTGATAACTGTAAGAAGACCAACAACAAGCATTTACTCAATCTGGTCTCAGAACACCACTACATTTCCTAGAAGTAAGTCATGAAATAGCTCTTTTAGGTACATTTCAACAAAATGGGAAGAAATGAATGGTTAAGGTAGAAAATATATTTATTTGAAAGCTGGTGACAAAGTAAATTATTAGGAAGCATCTTAAATCTGTCAAGTCAGAGAACCTTAGAGTTCCTATGCAGATGAAACTTGGCCCACGTTGCTTTGTTTTCCTCCACTGGCACCAATCTTCTGTGACTAAGGAAGGTTGGAGTTCACGCTGGCCTTCCCACAGAGAGCAGCTTTTAACCTCCTGCCAACTTCATCAATCTCGCAATAGTGTGATGGCTCCTGAAAGGGGCAGGGACCAAGAACAGCCTGCAGTCTTAGAATTAGACCCGCTCTGAGGGGTAGGCCTCAGTGATACAGGTCCAGTGGCTACCTCTGAGTTCAATGTACACATTATCGCTCGCAGCAGTTAGGCTGTGAGCGGGCCTCTCTCAGCCAGATGGTCCGGTTGGTTCTACACAAATCTTTAAGCACGGGAGAACAAATTAAATCAGAAGGCCCAGTTTGAACTAAATGTAATCCATCTAAGCTGGTGTTAGGGAAGTAAAAGATGTTGGCCTGCAACACTAGATAATAAGTAACATTATACCCCCACCCACTCTGCCCAACCAGGACCAGTCTCACCAAAGCACAAACCAATTAGTACAAAGCCCTTATCTTTTGACTTTAATTTGTATTCACTAGTATAAATCAGAGAGCCTGGGAAAGGCGGGAACTAAGGAAAACCTGCCTCCAGCAGTCTCAATCCTTGATCTGAAACTTAAAGTCAGCTGGCAGACACTGATTGAGTAGGGTTGGTGAGGATTAAGCATATCCCACATAGTGTGTAGGTGGGTGGAGTGTGCAGGTCAAGTGGTGTAAAAAGGCCAATATTGAATCACAGGTAATACAATTAGTGGAGGATGAGAAGTCCAGAGTGCATGTGCATCTGCAAATGAGTTAGAAAGAACAGAATGAACTCTGTAGCTTTGTTGTCAATTATTCAATCGACCGGGAGCTTGACCCCCTCAGTGGTCCTTTGTCAGGAGGACCCAAAAAGATCCCAAGTTGGATTTCAGATGCATGGTGAATTACAGAGCATCTTCTTTTCCATTTGATGTTATAAATTACATTTTGTTACATCTCAAATTAAATAGATGTACTGTGATAAAACTACAAGACCCAGGATGCAACAGGGTCCACATTTACTGAGAAGCCATGTTCTTTTTTGAATATGATGATCACTCTGAGGTGTACATGTATTCCGAATGTGATTATATTCTTCAACCCCTATCGTCTACATTAGCCAAAGAAAGGAAATATACAGGAATGCTATCACATCAGAAAAAGCCAGTATCTTCTATAATTTGCGTTCATGGAATCATCTGTCTTGGATGCAGAGGTCTGTATGGATTTTGCAGCCAGGAGAGAGCTAGTAGAAGCTAACCATTAGCATTAGCATCAGCAGGTTCAGTCTTGGGTTCCATGTGGAAATAAAACATCAATGTTGACTTTTTGACCCAAGACAGGAACGTACTCAAGTCTCAAGTGCTTTTTCTGAAAATATATATTTTCAAATGAAAGTAGTTCATTTTAGGATGATTAGGCAAGGCAAGGCAGCTTTATTTGTATAGCACATTTCATACAAAGGCAATTCATGGACTTAATTAATTGATGCTCCCTCTTCACCGATGACGCAGTCCCACGAGAGATCCAATATGTAAACTCCATCGTCTCTGTTCATGGTCCTGGGTCCACGTCTCCTCATTTCTATTGCTTCCTAAAGCTTGGTTTATGCTTGACGCATTCACTTTCCGCGCGGTGATGCGGCTCGCGGCTGGAACGCGCTTCACAACTCACAGCGTTTATGGTTTGGGCGGCTCGTCTCTGCAGTGAGCCGATATTCTCCCAAACTGAACGGGGCAGCATGGAGCTCTACAGCATGCACCCAACACTACACCATAGTACAAGTAGAAATTACTGTTTACAACATGGCATTTCAGCATTTTTAACAACGTCCTCGTCTTTTCCGACAGTGCGAGCTATTTCTCTCCAAGAATTATTAACAACATGTTGATCACGGTGATCTCTGAGAGCTGAATCATACAAATGTCTGTGTTTACGAACCTCTGCCGTGCCGGTCCGCCATGTTTTTCCGCGTCCGACCGTCCGCGTGGTTAGAAATTTTCCGAGGTGCGCATTGCGGAAATCTTGGGCCGTGCGGAGACGCGGTGGAGGGGCGTGGTTGTTAAAATGACGCAAAATGACGCAACTTTTCCGCGCGGAACCGTGCGGACCTCGCGGATGCGTCAAGCATAAACCAACCTTTAAACCATCTTGCTTTGCTGCTCTTGTGTGTCTTTGACTTGTTTCCTTCTTGCATTCCACCTTGTGTCTAGTTTCTCCGTTGCATGCTTTATTGCAGAGTTTGTGTGGTATTTTGTTTGGTATTTACAGTATTTGACTTAAAAGGGAAATGGTTAAAAATCTAAACTGAAGAAAAATCCTCAGCGTTTATCTAACCCAGGACACGCCAGTGCCCAATCATCTACAGTAAATGTCACTGATAATAAAGTTGGGGTCAGGAATAAAACAAGTCGAGTTACCTGACTTCTTTAAGTCCTGGGAACACAGTTTGCTGTTAATGAAAAACTGTAAAACTAAATTCTCTGACAATGTTTAGTGAACTTATTTCTGCTAATCATTTAAGTTTGGATTTATACCTTAATGACCTTAAATGGAGCTGACCAAACATTTCTGTTGTTGAACACTTTGCTGCATGCTTCTTTTTGACTAATTAGCATCTTTGTTCCTGTTATAGTAAATGCAATTACTGATCATTTCGCTGTTTGTGCTGCTTCCATGTCTTCTGTAGATGATGCTCCCCGTGGACCAGCAGCTTTACGACTTCATGTTTCTCTAAATCTCCTCTCTTTGCCTTTTATCCTGTTATTTTGTTTCTACACGGTGCATTTGCTGCTGAGCTAATTACTCCAGCGTGACCTGCTAAGCTGGGTCAGAGCCAATAAGAGGAGGACTAATGAACTGACACCCCCAAGGGTTTCCAGAGCATCACTCTGGACATTCCTCTTATCCATCCTCCTCTGGTTCGGCACCCCGGACCTTTGCTCATTATGGTCCAGACTCTGGTCTGTTAGCTGGAAAACGATGCAGTATTTTATTATTTTTTACTGCCTGTCAGTGTGTGAGTGTGGACGGCTCACTCTGTCTGACTCCCAACTACACGTGCTTTTCATGGCTCCACTCAGGCGGCTGTGTTTGCTGCATTAATAGATACAACTGTTGCTGCACATTTAGTCATTGTTGTCAGAAAACTGCAGCCACAGATTAAAATAGCGTGGCGTGTTAAACAGCCTAACTTTGATGGGAATTTAATTGTTTTTTTTTTCCATCTTCTTTTATTGCACTAATGTATGCAGAGTATTGCAGAATTTCATTCAGTTCCCTGTCAGTGTCTGTCTGGAGAGTGAAAATGTGCTGTGCGCTCAGCATGGCTGAGCAAAGAGCAGCCAGGTCACGAGGGATGTGTTCTGTTTGGGGTTTTGCTTTTCCGTCTGCCAGTACGTGGGTGGATTCATGGGGTCTTCTCCATCTGCTCTGCCTCCACAGGTACGGCATCTTCAGCCCACCAGAGAAATGAACTGAGGAGAGGACTGGTTTTTCAGAGCATCTGAGATCCTACAGTGAAACCATGAGGTTGCAGAGAAGTCCAGCACTTGCAGCCGTGCTGATCCTCATCACCTGTGTTTGTGCCTTTTATACAACAGCAGCCATCAACATTCCACTGGAGAGTGAGTCCTGACTGAACAGTAAACATCACCAACTTTATAATACGTTTAAGAAAACCTCAATGAGTAACTCTTTTTACATCTTAGGTGTGTTCTTGCTGTGTCTTGTTTCTAATTCCATGCTATCGTTCTTTTTTAAAACACAGAAACGGTTTCGTTACCTGTTTTTTCGCTACGTTTCGCCTGCGGCTGCAGACTTCCTCAGGCTGACACTGATGGTGGCGTCACTTCCTTCTCCGTTTATCTGCGGGCAGCAGAGGACGTTGTCGCCCTCTGCTGCCCGCTCTCCCCTCTCCGATGATGCAGTCCCTTGCGCGGTCCATCGTGTACACTCCGTTGTCCCTGTTCATGGTCCCACATCCACGTCTCCTTATCTCGATTGCTTCTTTAATCCATCTTTTGTATTTTTGTTGTTCGGTGTTTATGATCCTTGTGTTGTCCCAGTCAATGAGTAAGCCTAGACTGATATATCGGTTGGCCAGTGTATCGGGCTGATATTTACCATTTTTATTTATATACCGCCTCCTTTTTAAAGTCAGGCGCATCCCCAGGCAGCCCCGTGCTGCTGCAGACTACAGACTCCTCCAGCTTCACTGGCTGCCAGTCAACTTCAGGGTTCATTTCAAGATCCTGGTTCTGGTCTATAGGGCCTTACATGGACAAGCACCATCTTACATTGGTGATCTTCTTAGTCCCTGCACCCCCAGCAGGTCCCTGAGGTCCAGTGATCAAAGCCTACTGGTTGTGTAGCACCAGGCTAAAGACCAAAGGTGACAGATCATTTGCTGCTGTGGTCCCCAGACTCTGAAACTCTCTCCCCCTGAGCCTGAGATCAGTGGACTCAGTGGTCTCCTTTAAAAAGCAGCTGAAGACTCACTTGTTCAAGCTGGCTTTTGTATGACCTTCATCTTCCTCTTTACTCTTCTCTCCCCACTGATCCACTGATTTCCCTCTTTCCTATTCATTCTCTCTCTTTCTTTACATTTTTAATCACAATTGTCTATTTTTTGCCCATTTTAAATATATTTTTATCATTTTCTAAATTCTTTTTTATATTTTTACAATTTTTGTTTTTGTGAAGCGCCTCGTGATTTTTATCATGAGAGGCGCTATAGAAATGATATCTTCTTCTTCTTCTTCTTCTTCTTCTTCTTCTTCTTGTTCTTCTTTTTCTTCTTCTTCTTCTTCTTCTTCAGAGTTTTAGTTTAGATTCAGATTTATGTTCCTGAAAACATCTGCATAATAAATGCTCTAAAATGTTATTTGCAACCAACATTTCTTTTCACTAACCAGTTTTGAATCAACTTTAGTTAGATGTCTGATTTTAGCACTGAGCGGTGCACAAAATGTAACAGTTGGTTAAATTCAGTGTTATTAACATATTTTAGGATGCAAATAAGGTGGAAAACATTGGGATATAGGCGATGAAAATCGACCCAAACCTGATCGTATCAGGCATCAGCCATATATAACCATGGGTTGTACATAACGGTATCGCAATAGAAAAAAAGATCTCAGTCAACCTCTATTAATAAGGTTGAGAAAAGGTTCTTGATGCTTGAATGCCTCAGTTGTGTATATGTCTACTGTCCCTGATGGAGGATCTACAGGCGGCAAGAGCAGATTTTATTCCATTATTATCATTATTACAATATATAATTACATAATTAAATAAAACTGATTATTATATAGTTATTATTTTATCATTAAACAATAAATAGTTTAATTATAAATACAAATTGTATTATTAGAATAGAATAGAATTTGATAATGCTGCAGTGGGGAAATTCACTTGCTACTCGGCACAGACACTTATAACATAAAAATAATAGCAGGATTACAGGTAAACACACAGAGGCAGTAAGCTATTATTGTAATATTTATTGTGTCCTATTTCAGGATGAAACGGTTGCGTTTCTATTTTCAAGCTTTTGAATGAACGCAAAATTTTTAATAACATTCTTGAAATTTTAGCTGAAGACGACTGAAGAGCAACATTGTTTGGAACATGTCAGTTCTATTTCGTCTAGTCTTAGCCCTTAAGCTAGCTGCTATTGGAAGGATGATCTCCGCATCAGCCAATCATGAAGAGCTTAAATGTACGCCCACCAATAGTGGGCCCCCTCGTGGTATATAACCGCAGTGACCCCACTGCTCACCCCCTTTTTCTCTTCATGCCAAGCTTGAGAGCTTTATTAAAGAGCAAATATTATCTCAAAAGAGCAAATTATCCGAAGACGACTTACCAGCCATGTCCAGCGACACCAGACCCTGCCCGACCTGCCAGACGGGCTCCATTTCCAGCGGCGACCTGCACGCTAAGTGTGAGGTCTGTCTCGGGGCTCACCACGCTGGCCTGGCCTTGACCCCGCAGGCCTCGTGCCCGTTCTGTGCCGCTCTGCCCGTGGCGGAGAAGATTCGCCGGGTCGAGTACTTCACTCCCGCCGCCGACGAAGAATTTCCGGTGGCTGACTCCTACCCGCTGGACAAGGCTTTGGTTTTCTTCGACGCCGGTCAGGAGCCGGCTGGCTTCAACCGGCTGGATGACGTCACTGACAGCGAAAACTACGATGAGGCGGCGTCCCTCCTAGACATAACGGAGGTCGACGAGCTTCGCTCAGCGGGTCCTTCTGCCCCAGTGGCTTCTCGCTCCTCCCTGCCAGCAGTAAGAGCACTGCTCCAGGAGCTGCCCGCCATCATTTCTGCGTCAGCAGCCCGCAAGGGGCTAGCTGTGCCAGAACCGGCCCTGCCTGAAGCGGATGATTTGGCGGGAATTTTCGGGGCAACTCAGACACGCTGTCCAGACCCTGTCTGGCCGCGCTTCCCCGCTGCTATGAGCTGCTGGTCTGCCGCCTTCTCCGAGCCTGCCAAGCTCAAGGCGCCAGTTTCCACATATGCGCCCATCACCAAGGTCGAGGGGTTTTCCGACCAAGGCTGGCCGTCCGTTCCTCCACTAGAGCCGGATTTGGCCTCGCTGTTCGGCGCCAAGAACCACCTCGCTGGCCCGCGAGCTGTTCCCGCTTCAAAACATGACCAGCTGCTGACGCGGCTCACCGACCGCGCACATCAGTGTGCCTTTCAGACCGGCGCTGCAGGGAATAACATCGCCCTTCTTGCCTTCGGCGTCTCCAAGATGATGGAGGAGCTGGAAGCTCCCGAGGAGTCGAAAGCCGTCATAACTAAGACTGCTGATGCCATCCTCAATCTGTGTGCTGCTGTGCTCACCGGTTCTGCTCGCATCGCTGCCTGGCAGACCCTCATCCAGCGAGCGATCTGGCTGAAGGCCCTGCCCTCCATTCCGGAACATCTGCAAAGGGAGATGCTGGATGGCCCCATCACCACCGATGTTCTGTTTGGTCCCCATCTTAGGGGCGTCATTGAGAGGGCTCAGAAGACGGCCGAACTATCGGCTACGGTGCGAGACCTGGTCCACCCTCGGTCAGCCTCGCACTCCGGCCGTTCAGCCAGAGGATGGGACGAACGGCGCGGAAGCTTCAGACGTCCAGCTGCACCGCCCGCTCCACGGAGCCGGCCTCCCGCTTGGCTCCACATCAGCGGGACCAGCGAGATGGCGGACAACGGTTCCGGCGGGGCCAGCAGACGCCGTCTTGGCAGTCCCAGGTGCAGGAGCCTCGCCAAAAGCAGCCACGGAAGTGACTCTTTGGGGGGAATGTGTGTGTTACTGATTGTTCTGATGTTGTTGGTTTTGAAATAAAACCCAAAAAACGTCACTCAAAGAGCTCAATCCTACAGTCCTCCGCAGAATCCTCTGCCGAGTTTTCACACATGTTCCCCACACCAAGCACTGCTGCACGCACACATGTTCCTGCAGGTAGTCATAATACACGGCCAGCCGTAAGGGTGCGCTCCATTTGCGCTCTGGCCCCAGCATCCGGCCAGGCCCAACTCGTCCCGCTCTCCCCACGCCGTTGGGTGGGGCGGGATGTCATGTCGCTGTCTCGACCACGCGCGGCGGCACAGTGCGCGGCTCCATCCGCTAGCACTCTGTCGCCCCCGTGCACAGGCCCGGCTCCCACTCGTCCTTCACTCTCGGACTCCACGCTCCGCGTTGTGGACCAGCCTGTTCCAGCTGTTTCGCACTTGCCCTTTCGAGCGCAGCCCTCCATGGGTCGCCCCCAGTTCTCTGGTACGGGCGACGGCGGTAAGGGCGCATGCACAACCCTCAGACGTTGTTCACGTGACCGCGCACACGCGTCCATTGTCGGAACGCGCGCACGAGTGGCGCCGCCTTTGCATCATGAGCAAATGGATTTCGGACACCATTCATTGCGGTCACACACTTCATTTTCAGGCCACTCCACCTCCCTTCAACGGGATCGTGGAGACGACGTTCACATCGCAAGTACAGTCTCGGGCGCTAGAGCTGGAGCTGCGGGAACTTCTGTCCAAAGACGCTATTTCCCGAGTCCCTCGCGGACAAGAACTCTCGGGTTTCTACTCCCGCTACTTCGTAGTACCGAAGAAGTCGGGAGGAATGAGGCCGATTCTCGACCTGTCCCTGTTCAACTGCTCCATAGCAGTAATGCATTTCCGCATGTTAACGATGAGACAAGTCCTGGAAAATGTGCGCCCCGGGGATTGGTTCACGTCAATCGACCTGAAAGACGCATACTTCCACATACCAGTAGTTCCAAACCACCGGAAGTTTCTGCGTTTTTCGTTCAAGGGAGTTCAATATCAGTTCAATCGCCTCCCTTTCGGCTACTCGCTAGCCCCGCGCACTTTCTCCAAATGTCTGGAGACCGCGCTGCAGCCACTGCGCACGGAGGGAATGAGGGTCTTATTTTACCTGGACGATCTTCTCCTGTGCGCTCGGTCCGAGGACGAGGCGTCACAGCAAACCAGGAGGTTGACAGAGCATCTGTCAACCCTAGGGTTTTCTATAAACTGGGAAAAGAGCTCCATCCTTCCATCCCAGTCGATTGTGTATCTCGGGGTGGAGTTGGACGCCTCCCTAATGAGAGCACGTTTGTCGCCTGCAA